ACCACCATAAAAGAGCCTGGGGTGAAGTCCTAGTTTCTGGTGAGGCAGAGATTGTCCTAGAGTAAGGCCATGGTGGTGAGACTGTGAAGTGTAGTTACTGCATAATTCGCATCTCAACAATGCCAAAAGCTCACTAGTCAGAGCTGATAGAAGCTAGGAGGGGAGTCGTAATTTCCAGTAGGATAGAAGAATACCACCAAAGAGTTTTGATGAATGCTGCTTAATCGTATAGCATGAGATGTGATACTGCTAAGCTGTTTCTTCCTTCCCACTCCGTTGTTTTCCTTGAGAACCTTCACCTTTTGTTCTTACAGATGAATTTTGTTATTGTTTTTGTTATTCAGTCATGTCAGTCATGATTTGTGACTCCATTTGGGGTTTACTTGGCAAAGGTACTAGAGTGGTTTGCCATTTCCTTCTCCAGCTTATTTGACAGATAAGGAAATAGAGGCAAACAATGTGAAGTGACTTGCCCAGAGCCAGTAAGTGTCTGAGGCCAAATTTGAACTCATGAAGATAAGTCTTCCTGACTTCAGGCCCAGCATTCTATGTGCTATGCCATCTAGCTGCCCCACTGTTTTTTTAGATTCTAGAAATTCTTTGGCAACTTGGGATCACACTGAATAAATTAAGCCAAGTCATTCAGCATTTATTAAGCAATTACTATATGCCAGTCTATGTGCTAAGTGCTGGGGATACAAGGAAGGAAAGAAGCAGTTATTAAGTGCCTCTTCTATTCCAGGTGCTTTATAAATATTCTTTCATTTGGTCCTCAAAACAATCCTGGGATATTGGTGCTATTATTATCCCTATTTTATAGTGAGGAAACTAAGACAGAGATAAGTGACTTGCTCAGGGACACACAGCTAGTAAGTGTTTGAGGCCAAATTTGAACTCAGGTCTTCTTGATTCCAGGCCAGACACTCCACTTCACTACCTAACTTTTTGGAATAGGTCTAGCTGCCTAGAAAGGCACTGAATTAATCCTTGCTCTTCAAGAGCTTACTGTCTGATGGGACTCCAAAGAGCTTTTGTTTATGTTTATGTTTATCATTTAATATTTACTATATGGAAATTAAAACTAATAAAATATTAAAATGTTTACTAAATCATTTAAAATGCTAAATCCATTGCCTGTTAATGGAAACAGCATATTTTATGTAAAATAACTATATTATCTAAAATAAAAAGTTAGGAGAGTAGCATTGTTTTCATATTTTTACAACTAGATTCTCTTGCATGCTTTTTACATACAATTTGGTGTGATACTTTGATTTGGTTGAAGAAAAACCTGCTTCACAGTTATATGGGCTGGACAAGGGAGAAGTATTTTAATAGGCAAATAATGTCTTAGTATCATTATAATAATAGTTTTGATCTTGTGGACTCCCAGAAAGGGTCTTAGGGACCCCAGGGGTTCTGGAACTATACTTTGAGAACCACTGATCTAGTAGGTGATAGGTGCGAAGGGACTGAACTAAATGAATGGCTATATAAATACAGAAAAGTGATCAGTTGCAAGAGATGTTGTAGAGGCAAAAAGAATGTCTGTCAAGGAAAGCAATGAGGTTATAAACCTGGGAAATTATTAAATGGTAGTTGGGTTTGACCTTTGGGGACTATTTTAAAATATAACACCATGTCTTCGTTATATTACTTTAGCTAGCTCAGATGGCTTTTGTACAGTACCATCAATCAGTAATCAATTACTAAACCTTTTTTAAATGCCTGTTGTGTACTAGGCACTGGAATACGTGTTGCAAGACCATCTTCTCCATAGATGTTATTTGGAGAACTAGTTTCACAATGGCACACTTACCCAGGTCCTAGATAATGAACAATGATCTCATATTTTCCTAGTCATCCGTTTAGTGAAGCAGAGCTGTGTGCTTCCTCCCATGCTTTTTAGCATGATAGTTTCAGCAATGTTGTTGGGCACCTTAACAAGGATGAAAGTAACGTCAAGGTCAGCTGCCACACTGATGGTAAATTATTTAACCGTAAAAAAAACTATAAGCCAAGATTAAAGTGGAAGGAAAGTTGGTGCATGACTTTTTGTTTGCAGATGATTGTGCAATCAGTGCAGCCACTGAGGCTGAGATGGAACAAAGTAAAGATTGATTCTTTACTGCTTGTGCTAATTTTAGCCTAACAATTAACACCAAGAAAACAAAGGTGCTCCACTAGCCAGCACCACACTGTCTACATGTAGAGCCATTGGTTACGAAAAATGGAGAAATTTTGAATGCTGTGTGATAAGTTCACTTATTTTGGCAGTATGCTTTCCAGGGATATACATGTAGATGATGAGATTGACACATGTATTGCCAGAGCTAGTTCTGTGTTGGGAGGCTTTGAAAGGAAAGTGTGGGAGAGAAGAGGTATTAGACTGGCTACCAAATTGAAGGTCTGCAGAGCTGTTGTGCTGACCTCGTTGTTGTATGCCTGTGAAAACTGGATAACATAACCAAAGGCATGCCACAAAACTGTTTGGCTTCCATTTGAATTGTCTTAGGAAGATTCTGAAGATCACCTGGCAAGATAAGATACCAGACAATGAAGTCCTTTCTCAAGCTGAACTGCCAAGTATTCAAACTCTAGTGCAGAGAAATGCAACTCAGATGGGCAGGCCACATTGTTTGAATGCCAAAAGTGTGTTTCCCTAAAACACTATTTTTTGGAGAACTTACACAGAGGTAAGAAGAAGTGATACAAAGACATTCTCAAAGCCTCTCTGAAGAACTTTGGTATTGATTGTGAGATACAGGAGATAATGACAGGACCTCCCAGCATGGTGTTCCCACATTAAAGAAGGTGCTGTTCACAATGAACAAAGCAGAATTGTAGTAGTTCAAAAGAAATGTGAGATGTGCAAATTTAGAGACATTTCCACTCCAAATGTTCATGTGGACTATTTGTGGCAGACCTGTGGTAAAGCCTTCCAAGCTTGTATCGATGAGATTGGCCATGGTCGGACACACTGTACCTTGACCCCGACATGGTGATGTCATCTTGGTCCTCTTCGAGAAGGAAGGACAGCAACCAACCAGTCTGGTCAACCAATGTGTCCCATCTTGCAGGTCCAGAGCTCTTGACTTTTTTGTGTGACATAGACCTTTGACAATCTGAGGAAGCCAGCAGACCTCTTCTAATGAGCATGTTTTAAAATGCATACAATAAAAGATTTCTTTTACAAAGAAAATCAGTTAAAATAAAATACTGTTATCAAAATACTTATTAAAAACAAGGCCACAAACGCTAGGTTGAAAATTTCCATTATCATCAACAACAACTAGCATTTATATAATGTCTGCTATGTGCAGGCATCATGCTAAGTACTTTGCAAGTATCATCTCCTGTGATCCTCACAATAGGATTTATTTTATAAATGAAGAATCTGAATTTTTTTTAACCTCAATATAAAAATACTTTATTGCTAAAAAGAAAATGCTAGCCATCTTCTCAGCCTTCAGCAAGTCATAATCTTTTTGCTGGTGGACGGTCTTGCCTTGATGTTGATGACCACTGACTGATCAGGGTGGTTGCTGCTGGGGTAGCTGTGGCAATTTCTTTTTTTTTTTTTTGATGAAGAATCTGAGACAGACAGATAAAGACAAAGTCTTTACAAGTAACTTGCCAAAGGTCTAACAGCCAGTAAGTATCTGAGACCATATTTGAACTCTGGTCTACCTAACTCCAGGCCTGGCATGCTTACCGCTGGGCCACTTGTTGCCTCTAATATAGAAAGTAAGTTATTTTTCTGCTTTCATATAATAAAGGAGCTTTGTATAGAGCCATACTATTTAACTAGTTACATAGCTATATGATTTTCTGAAAAGTTTCTGGAATGCTGATGTTCAAGGGATGATTGCACCATTTACTGGACATGATTTTGGGCAAATCCCTTTTCTCATATGAAATCTCTTCCTTTATAACATGAGAATCAAAGTACCTGCTTCCATATTATTACAGGGTTGTTGTGAAAGTCAGGTATGGAAGCCCTTTATAACTATAAGGTCTCACAAATAGAAAAGCCTACTGATAACCATTTTTACCATTCTAGTGATAATTAAGGTGACCAGTGTGGCCATAAGTTTAATGAATATATTATTAAGTAATTTACCATTATGGTGGTAATGACATATTTCGTTAATAACAGTAATAGTTATTACTTTATATTTTTATAATGCTTTATAATTTTGAAAATGTTTTCATATCTATTATGTCATTGGTCCTCATGATAACCCTGGCAGTAGAATGGGGTAGATATTATTCCCATTTCACCGATGAGTACACTCTGGCTTTTTGCAGTTACCACATAGTGGTAAACTTATTAGGTGATTTATCCAAAATAACACATTTGAACCTCCACTAAGTATGGAATCTTTTTGGGAATAACGGTTGTTGTTATTACTACCATTGTGGAGCTACCAGTAGCTACCACCACTTCATATTAGTCTTTGCTGTTTACAAGTGTTCACTAAGGCAAAAAATTATTTTAGCTTGTTGATACTTGCTCTTTCCAAGAAGGAACATTATTTTTAAATATAATAGCGATTTTCAGATTGTTCTTTGTTTGGGAAAATTGTCTCACAGATATAGTATTTTTAATATAGATTTGTTGTTACCCACAGTTTATTCCATATGTCATCTCTAATCTAAAATTTGTAATGTTATTTACACATCAGTCAGCTAAAACTCTAGGGTGGTATCCTGGGGACATTACTCCATTGGGCGTTTCTTCAGTCTGTCAGGAAGTTCCTTTCCCTATAAGGTTACTTATATTTTTATTTGCTCATACCTATTTCTAGGTTACTATCAACACAAAATCCTTGAATGCTGCCCTGATAAGCAGTGAAGGTGGGGAGGTGGGGCAGGGAATGCATATCAATGTTTTTTGTACATTATCAGCAATGTTATGTATTGGTTATGCTCTGCAGGCAAAAATAGTTTATTTACTGCACAATTAATTTTATTATAATCTTATTTCCCTGTTTTAGATTCCTTGAAATTATGGATTGCCCACCTGTGTTTTGAGAAAACTTTAGCATGTGGTTTTCTGGAGATACTGCCACAAGAACTGAAAGTATTATAGAGCTGGCGTTAGGGGTAGGAAGGTAAGAGAGCACTTTTTACTTTCCTATTTGTGGCATCATATGCTTCTTCCCTTGTTAATTGGTTCCGTGTTCCCTTTAGGTTTAGTTGATGCTATAATACTGCACCCTACTGGACATTAAGGCATTTCCTGAACTGAGAAGTGGCATTTTATGGTCAAATATTTAGCCAGCTGGACAAATTTTTATGGTCCTTAGCCCCAGTCATAAAAAGATAAGTAGAAAACAGGTGCTACCCTGTAATCATTGTGATGCTCCACTGCTGTTGTTACTATGTTGGCATAAATGCTTTGGTGGTTGGTGGTGGTGGTGGTGGTTGGTGTGGTGGTGGGTGATGGGGATGATGACGGTGATGATGATGATGATGATGATGATGATGATGATGATGATGAAGCAACAGAGAACTCTAACCTTTGGATTTATAGCCCATATTATTAAAAACATCCCAAAATAGAATACATACATTGAAAGCTTTAGAGTATGTCTTAGGTTTCCTGTGTTAATTCTTGTGTGTCTGTCTATATGCACATTTGGTATTAGCTCTTCTATAATAGTTTTAGGCCCCTCTGCTTTGTGTCTATTCAGGGCAGACATTTTTGAAAGGGCTCACAATAATGAATTTCTACTTTAATGGGACCTATTTTGAATGAGACATCCTGTGTTCCATTTAATGCAGTATGACTTTAAATGGGGCTTGTTTTATATGTCCACCCTATAATTTGGCTATCATGCTGTCTACTGTGTGCAATGAACTGTATTTACATAAAGTGAGTATGGGTTGGAGAACAACTGTAGTGTCCGTTGCTGACCTGCCACACTGTTACATTGTTTTCCCATGTCCTAAACTCACTTAAGATGTATAAAGCTGCTCCTTTTAAAAGTATATTTCCACCCATTTTGAGCAGCAAAATGCCGTGTGAATACAAGCTTGCCTTTGTAAAAACTCTTCACTAACCATTCAGAAATACTAATGTGAAGGCAATTTTATGTATTAAATTATCTGAAAGTAACTTTATTACATTGATTTTTTAAAATGAGAGAAGCAAAATTAAATAAAATAAGCAGAAGTCTGGCTGGATTTTAGTTACTTTTTTTCTTCAAGATTTGCTCTTTTCTTTGTAGGTATGGGCATGGTTTGGCAAGATCATTCTAAATTAGCACTTTAGGGAACAGGACCTGATACTTTGTTTCCTTAATTCAGAAATCCTGAAAATACATTAAATACCTAATATTTTGAAAACTTTAAATATGTAACATGAAAAGAAAACTGGTTTTGAACAAAAGGAGAATGGCCCTTTCTCTATTAGTGAAAATATATGGTAACTTTTATTTGAGAAAAGTTCATGTATTTTCTACTTTTTAATATAAGAATTATTTTTATATTAAAATATGCATCATAATATCTTTTTTACATAGTTTAGTATGTATTTGTTTTTGATGACATTTGAAATAGGTTAGGCTCCTATAAGAGAGATTTGTTAAGTAAGAAATATTTTCCAATCATAACAATTGTTGAATATTGGAAAATATTATAAAGAAAGCAAATATAATTTTCTTTTCCTTAAATCTTTAAGATTAGGGTAGATGAATGTGCTCTTTGTTGGTTGTGTTTTAGTCCTTCATGAATGATGTACTTTTAAAGGTTTTTCCAGTCGTATGATCTGGTTATTTAATAAGATATGAATAATTTAACTTTTCAAATAAGGGCTTAATATAACAAATACTTTAGTCCATTGCTTAATTTCTTCTACGTGGCACTACTCAGAATAAGATTTCATATTTTGGAAATTTAAAATCAAATTTCATCATACAAGAAAGTTGTCATTTCAGAGTTCATTTAATAAGATACATGAAAATATGGTTGACAAATTCTGAAATAAGAATGGATTGCAGTTAACAGAGTTACTTAGGCTTTTGAAGTTATTGTAACATTGCTAAAACCCTCCAGAATGATTATGCTCCCAGTTATACAGTTCAACTATTTAAGAGTTTGTTGCACTCAAAGGAAGGTCCCAATTATATGTAGGTAATCTTTTTTTGTTTTTGTTTTTGTAACTATTTCTGGCATAAGGGTATAGCTTCAACATATTGTTGTTCAGCTTATTGATATGAAACCAGTATTTAATATTGTCTTGTGAGTTATTGTTAACGTCTCATTAAATTTGAATTGTTGAAAAATAAGATACTTTATGAATTTTTTAAACTGAATCTTACTTTTTTACCTATCAGTTAATAATTTTTGATTGGATTCCTTCTGAAATGTATTTTTCCATTTGTTCTTTGATAAAATAATGTACTGAATTTAATTTAACACATTTTTGATAATTCAAGGCTACCAATAATAGTTATTGAGAAGTAGTAGTAGTTAGTGATGATGAGCTTTTATTAATTTATTGAGATGTTTAGAACTATTTTCTCCTCTACCAAATGACTACATAGTACTCCACTTCTGTAGTTTTTCTGTCTTCCTTTATGGAATTTTTTCATTATTTATTATCATATGTCACATATTTTTGCTATCATTGTGTGCTGCTATTACCTAATCATCTGTCGTATTTTACACAATGTGAGAAAGAAGTATAGTGCTATACCTCTACTTTGGAGTCATGATCCTAAGATTTGTGATAGTTATTAATCATTTAAAGGGCCTTTTACACAAATTTCCAGGCTAATAGTGATATTTCAGGTGGTTAAGGTCAGAAGTCTGACTTTGGATAAGTGGAGTATTGTAATATCTCCATCCATAAATTAATTGAATATATTGATGTGCCCCTACTTTTATAATACCAAATATCTGACTTTATGAAATAGATGTTATTAGCTTTTGTCACATTATCAGATGCAAGTTCTTTTAATAGCTCACTTATCATTAAACAATCTGGGAGTATAACTTGGAAATGTAGAATTTAACTGTTAACTTAGTTGGCACTGAAGAAAAATAGGAAGAGAAACTTAAAGCATTTCTGAATTATATTTTAAATTGATAGACATAGTTCAGCAAATTTGTTTTAGCAATTTTGTGATTGAATAAGGTGAAATACATTTGTTGTCCCACTTCCTATAAAGTCCTGAACATGAATTTAAAAAAAAAATCTGTTGGTAATAGTTCACAACCAAAGTTGGAAAAGGAAGTATACTGTTAAGACTTCAGTCTCTCTGTCTCACTCGGCTCTCAGCCCAAAAGTTCAGGAACTACTTACGCACCTGATAGGCACAGGAGTTTTGATTTGTTTCCCACCTGGACCAGTTTGCCCTGCCTTGGGCAATCTGGTGGCCTCCTAAGGGCTCACCATATTGATGCTGAACTTTGTGTGAGGTATCTGATAGATTTAGTTCACTTGGTGCAGTAGAAGGAGTAGACTCCAGAAGACCTGGAGTCAGGAAAACTCATATTCTTGAGTTCAAATCTGGTCTCAGACACTGACTAGCTTTGTGACTCTGGGCAAGACACTTAACCTTGTGTGCCTCAGTTTTCCCATCTGTAAAATGAGCTGGAGAACAAAATGACAAACCACTCCATTATCTTTTCCAAGAAAACCCCTGATGGAGTCACAGAGTTAGACATGACTGAACAACAACAACAACAAAGGCTCAAAACTCCTGAGGTCCAGCGATCCACTACCCCACTCACCCTCCTTGGTATAATTGGAACTATAGCTGTGTGACCCACCGGGCCTGGCTAGATTTTTTAAAAGTAAAGATTTTATTACCTAGATTCATTGTATTTGAATTAGATATTGCGAAGTTCATCTGGATTTTATGATGAGTAAAATAACCAGTTACTATATGATCAATTTCTTCCTAATGTGATATCTTTCCTCCAGATTCCTTTTAGTATCTCGTGGTTGTGTAAAACCATTATTTTAGATAATATAACAATTTTAGCATATAAACAACTAAGAAAGGATAAAAATACAAGGTATTATTATACCAACTATCAGAAAATTTCATCCAATTTAATAAATGTTTACCTTAAGGAACCAATATAGTATAAAAGCAATTGCTATAATTTTTCTTTAAAAAAAATACTTTCAGCATCTGAACATGTTTTACTGACTTATTCATATTCATCCATTCCGTATTCTTTTTTTTTTATTCCAACCAGGTGAAAGCTGACTCAAATAAGTTCTCTAAGTAAATTTCCTCAAGTAATAGCTACTCATATTGATGTTGGACTTTAAAGTCTGCGAAGTGTTTTCCTTACATACTTATATACATATTACATTGCATTTTATAGCTGAGAAAACTGAGGCTCTGAAATGTTTGTGACTTGATTATGATCACATATAGTGCCAAGGTATAATTCAAACCGATCTGTTGGACTCTGAGGCCAACACTCTTTCATGTTATCTTTTAAATACCATACTATAGAAAAGAGATTGGCTAGTAGGTTCATTAGGAAAATATTGATGATTCCTGAGACATGTCTTTTTGATACTGTGAAAACTGGTGTGTTGATGATTCACTCTTACCTTTATCACTTCATTGGTTACCAATCTATCCTGCCTGTCATAGAGGAAAAAGTTGGTCAAAGAGGACTTTGTAAAATAAGTAATCGCATAATATTTTTAGCAGCATTAGAATAAAAAGACCTCAACTTAGGAAACGTAAAATCTTTTCAAGTATTCATCAGTTCAATGTTTCTAATTGCTTCTACCAGCCCAAGTTTATTCAAGCTGTTCTATTTTACCTTATATGAGAATTTCCTAAACTGAATGAAATCCACAAATGGGAAAAAAAAAACCCCAATCTTAAACATTACGAAAAGAATGTGAATATTTGACAATTTTACTAGCTTTAAAATTAATTTTAAGTTTGTTTTAATTACTTTTCAGCATGCCCATCTATAAACCGTATATATTAATAGCATTCATTTTTTTAATTTCCAGATCTAGTAAAGATCATAATGTTCTTAGAGTATTGTAATCTGTTGTTTGCTTTGCTATGTATAAAAGTGTTTTTGTTTTGGCATTTTGTTCATTGTCAGTCTTAATAAACATATA